ATAGAAACCAGGAGGCGTATTATGCAACAGAAAATCGGTATTTGTCATTTTATTTTAATCTGATTGGTTGATTAACGTCAATTAATTGTCGTCTGCTATAAAATTTCGGTATATTTGTCTGATTCTAAAGGTAGGAACACGCCTCACAAAAAACGCTTGATGCAATACAAGGTTTCTTTCCGCGGCTTTACAGGGTTTTGCATCAGGTGCTAACAAACTTCATAAATAGCGTGACGCGAGACGTGGCCTCCTCAGTGGTTAAGGTAGTTGCGTTTTTATTACAAATTTAGATAGATAGATAGATAGATAGATAGATAGATATGAATCCGACAGGATTCCAATCCAAATTCGATTCATATCTATCTATCTATCTATCTATCTATCTATCTATCTATGCCAGTTCTTTATCTATCTATCTATCTATCTATCTATCTATCTATCTATCTATCTATCTATGCCAGTTCTTTATCTATCTATCTATCTATCTATCTATCTATCTATCTATCTATCTAACCTTTTCTTCACCTATCTATCTATATATCTATCTAACCTTTTCTTCATCTATCTATCTGTACGTGTATGTGTGCGTGTATGTGTCTATGAATGTTTCCGTGTATGTGTGTTTATGTTTGTGTGTATATGTGCATGCGTGTATATTTGCACGTGCATATTTTATATGTATGTGTAGGTATATGTGTATGTTGTGTGTATGTGTGTGCATGTGTGTGTGCATGGGTGTGTATGATTGTGTGTATGTATGCGTATGTGTTCGTGTCTGTGCATGTGTGTAGGCGTGCGTGTATGTGTGTAGGTATGTGTGTGTGTGTGAACAGGGAATAAAAAATATGGATCAATATTGTGATTTTCTTTCTTCGTTTAATGATAATGTTATTAAGCTTATCACACGTTATGGAAAGAATTTACATAAAATAAATAGACAAAACATGTTTATATTATTTAATGAAACATGCATCAATGAAAAATGCTGCCTAAATACACACACAATATATATATATATATATATATATATATATATATATATATATGTATGTATAAAGGTTATTGGTTCATCAGATAGTACTTCCAAAAATGAAATGAAACAAAAAAAATCTATATCTTTATATATATATATATATATATATATGAAGAAAAATTTGAAAAAACAAACCAAAAATCCTTAAATGCAATTATGTTGTTTAAAATGAATGAAATGTCGACGTCTGACGTTTCGTTTTAATAAACCTTCTTCAGGACAATATTCATTAAAATACAATTTAGTTCAATTTGACAAAGACGATGGACATAAAAAACAAGTCTTATCCAAAACAGATAACTGAAAATTTTTAAAATGATCAGCTTTCCGTTTAGCATGGTCACGTTGTCGTCACATGGGCGACGCTTTCAAAACGTATTTCTAAAAATTTTTGATTATTTTGAATGAAAAAGAAAATGAAAAGAATTCTATTAGGATCTAAAGAATTTTATGCGTATGCTTGTCGAGCATTAATCTCGCTAAAAAAGGGAAAATATTAAAGAAACCAGGTCTAGTATACACCGTGCGTGAGATGGATATTATACCTGCTTCATAAATCCTCCTGAGATTTTTATTATGAAAATATTTTAATACCTTCACGGAATCGAAATCGAAATTATGATGTGCTTTAGTTGTGTGTACAACTAAAACATAGTTAAAATTTCCGAGGCGAATATCTCGTTTATGTTCGAAAACACGAGATTTTACGGACCTACATGTTTCACCCACATATTTTAGGTCACAGTTTTGCATGATATTTGATAGATGCAAACATCGGATGTAATAAACAAATTTTTCTTCATTCTGTCGGATCTATATCCATTTACATTTGCTTACATATATATATATATCTATATAAGCCGACTTGTTTCTCACCATCCCTCTCTTAAATTTACCGTAGAAAAGGAGTCCAATTCTTGTCTTTCCTATTTGGATGTTCTTGTCCATAAGACGAGTGGCAGGTTTTTGACTTCTGTATTTAGGAAGGCTACTTTTTCTAGACTTTATATACACATTGGGACTCTTTTTGTCCCAGACAACGAAAAGTTAATTTGATTAAAACCTTAATTTATAGGGCGCTCAGGAATTGTTCTGATGGCTTTCTCTGCGGTGAAATTGATTTTATTAAGATGAAACTTTCTAAAAATGGATATCCTTTGGATGTTTTGGATTCTGTTATCAATGACGTCATCAATCAATTTCATAGGGTTAAACCGCATTTTGTTAAAAAATGTCCAGTATATTTGCGTCTTCCCTTTATTCGTTCACAGGGTGAGTCTTTAGTTAGGCGAATTTCGCGTGCGATTAATAGCTGTTATTTTTCGGCTAATGTTCGGGTAATATTTGTTACTCGTCCTATTTTCTCTTCCATTGGTAAGGATGTCCTTCCACAGCCCGCTATCATGTTAATTCAGGGATTTATAAATATAAGTGTAGTTGTGGACTCGACTACATAGGGAGGACGTCTCAACGTTTGGATCTGAGAATAAAGCAACACTTACCCACCAGGATTTTGAATCCGGATGCCAGGAAAAGTCAACTAATTAATACTTCTGGCTCTTCAATTGCAGAGCATATTATAAATAGTAGGAATTGTGTCTTTGATTTTAGGGTGAACTGTTTTTCAATTTTATCGAGGTCACACTCTTCATATCACCTCACGGTTCGAGAGTCCTTGTATATAAGATCCTGTAAACAGAGGGAATGCTTACAGGGTCTGAATGTTATTGGACTCTAGCTTTCTTTAAATTCATATTTTTCCCTCCATTGGTTATCATTAATATCAATTAAATTTACACGTTTATTTTATATCTCAGAAACAAACTTGATAAGGCTGGGACGAAACCGCTTGTTTTTTTTTTTTAGCTTTTAAAATATACATTAAAATGGCATATAAATTTTGCTTATCCCTAGCTATCCTTAAATTTTGTACTACAAAAAACTTATTTAAATATATATATATATGTATGTATTCATACCTTCATAGGGATTGCTGCCCATCCACTGTTGCGCTATGCGAGGACGAATTGACGTCATAGACTACCATCTGAAAGTGGATTCGCAGGGTGTCATTGCCAATGCACTAGCAGAACGACACACATTGCCGAGTTTAATGTACTTAGCGTTAACGGGAGGTTTCCTGTCCTGCGCACATTGGTAAGTTATTTCTTCATCTTTCTTTTTCTGTTTTTGGAAATATGCTTTTTTTTTCCAGTATTTTTCTTGCTGAAGAAACAGTTTTATTTCGTCTTTTCTTTCGTAGTGAAAAAAATCGGTCAGATTGTTTTTAGTATTTGACAGATTTTATTCTTTTTCTACGGCTTATCAGCCCCTTGCAAGTTATTTAAAGCCCGAAAATAATTTTAGATGGTAAGATTTTTTTTTTTTAGATAATAATGACTGATAGAAAACTTACTAATTAACCCATAGCATGCGGGAGAAAAGGTGGATTTATAACTAAGCAAAATTTAATAAACAAACAATAAATTGTGGATGTAAAGTGGGTGATCAATTCTATATTACATTCAATATATAAAATGATCTCTCATTTTGTGGCCACTGTAGTTTCTAATCATTTATATTTCAGAAAAGGAAAATTAATCTGAAAGACATGCCTGTGTAGCTAATCAATGTAGCTATTGGGGGGAAATAATAATGCTTTAGTGATACAAATCTTACTAATTAACCCATAGGTGGGGAGAGAAGAGGCGGAGTCATGCTTAACCAGAATTTGATAACAAAATAAGAAATTATGATGTGGACATAAAGTGGGAGATCAACTCTATGTTACAATCTGTACATAAACTGATCCCTCACTTTGTGGCCACAGTAGTTTCTATACATTTATATTCCAGTGAATGTAAATAAATCTAAAAGACATGACAGTGTAGCTAATCAGTATTTGAGAGACAAACAAGAAATTATGACGTGGATATAAAGTGGGGGATCAATTCTATATTACAATCAATATATAAACTGATCCCTCACTTTGTGGCTTCGGTAGTTTCTACACATTTATATCGCAGAAAATGTAAATAAATCTAAACGACTGGCCTCTGTAGCTAATCAGTATTAGATTAATTGAAAGATTCGTTTTCTACGGCTTATCACACGGCTTAATACGTACCCCTAATTTTGCTTATTACTTTTTAGAAAAAAATGCGTATTATACATGGCGAATTACGGTAATCAAGGAAATAAACACGATCAGCTAAGTTTTGATAACATTAATGTTGCAACAAATTTAAAATTTAAAACCATTTCTTCAGCGTCTCCTTTCAGCACATAATGATGAAAGACATTTTCGGTTATATAACCCGCACCCCGCCCGCCTCCACATAGAATTCAATCAATAAGAACGTTATTTTAGTCTGATGAATTTATTTTAAAGGACTAAATGCATTATCGAATTTTCTTGTGTTTAAGACGGTAAATCTTGAACGAAGGCAAAAAGATTGCTGCGTATTATACACAAGGAGATGTTTTCAGATATTTTACTCGGCTTAAAAATATCTCTTATTTGAAACAGCAAGATTGCAGATACCTGCACAATCAATATGAACAAATGCGAATGTCAGTGTGTCAGTGTGTCACACTTTTTCAACTTTACTCCTAGAGACCCTAACCCAACATAACATACCATTTTGGAATCAGTCAGACTCTGTGAGCAAATTAAAAAAACATTTCGGACCGGTTCCGGACCAAGAATCCTGAAATTTGGAATTATCAAGCCTCAAGCTTATCAAGCCTTTGCAGGCTATTTAAATCCAGGAAATATTTTTAGACTGTAAGAATTCTTTTGGTGATAATAATGACTTGGCGATGTCAATCTTACTAATTAACCCATAGTTGGGGAGAGAAAAGGTGGTGTTGCATCCTTTCCATAAAGAAGTTAATTGAAATTGGAGCTCGGCTTCCCGATAAACAATTTCGACTCGTTATCCATTACACCGCCCACATATTGAAGATTACAGCACCTATTATTCCCAAGGGGTTACCCATTTAGATACTGACCAAACTCGGCGTTGCTTAACATCAGAGACCTTACGGGAACCGGTGCTTCAATCTGATATGCCCGTACACTCGTTACAATTGTAGATGATTATATGTTATGTAGAATTTACCAATATACAGTTTGTTATGGTCCGGTTCCTTGTACCACGGTGATAGTCCAAGGTAGAACCAATAAAGAAGAACTCGAACACGGACATGGAATAACACAGATATATTACAAACAGGAATATATACAGAGAAGTAGAAGTGTTAGTACTAACAATCAGGTTTAGTAGAGAGAACAATGTAGTCTCGACCAGTATCACTATTCCAATGTCTTGCAGTAATTGTCTGAACGCGATTCTGTTTCGTACTGCCTCTGACTCGACTCTTCACTCGACTTGAACTACTGACTCGACTTGAACTATTGACTCCGCTTGAACTACTTACGATATTCAGTCACCCTCCCACGAGGGGTGTCAGGCCTTTTAACGGGCAGTCCGAGGCACAAGGCCATTTGAACCCGCCTAAGCGGGTTCAGGGCAGTCCCGAAGGAGAGCCCTTCGGCGGCTTCAGGTTCCTCCGCCCGTAGGCTCCATTTAACCAAACAGTCAGTTCAGAGTTGAACGACTGACAATATTCAGTCACCCCCCCCCACGAGGGTGTCGGGTTCAAGGCCCGGCCATTAGGCTCGGCCTCCCCGAAAGTATAAACGGGTTCCGCCCTTCGAAGGCGTCGGCCTCCTTCAGGTTCCTCCCGCCCGTAGGAAGAAAGTTTAACCGAACAGTCGGTTCAAAGTTGAACGACTGACAATATTCAGTCACCCCCCCCCCAGGCCTTTTTAAGGGTGTCAGCCATTATAAACGGTGGCCAAGGCCTCCATTTGAACCCGTATAAACGGGTTCTGGGTGGGAGATTCCTTCCGTAGCCATTAGGAAGAGAGTTGAACCAAACAGTCATTTCGGTCACCCCCCCACAGGGTGTCATGTGGCACAAAAATAACGTGGAAATTTGAGCCATTTTGAACCCGTATAAACGGGTTCTGGGCCGGTTTTACCTCCCCGAAGGAGACTCCACCCTTCGGCGTAGCCTCCTTCGGGTTCCTCCCGCCCGTAGGAAGAGAGTTTAACCAAACAGTCAGTTCAGAGTTGAACGACTGACAACATTCAGTCACCCCCCACGAGGGTGTCATGTGGCACAAGGCCTTTTACGTGGGCAGGGTGCCATTAGGCTCGGCAAAACAAGGCCATTTGAACCCCGTATAAACAGGTTTCTGGGCCGGTTTTACCTCCCCGAAGGGACTCCTTCGGCGTAGCCATTCGGGTTCCTCCTCGTAGGAAGAGAGTTGAACCAAACAGTCAGTTCAGAGTTGAGCGACTGACAATATTCAGTCATAAACGGGCCTTTTTAACGTGGGAATTCCGGAGCAATTAGGCTCGGCAAAAAAATACCATTTGAACCCGTATAAACGGGTTCTGGGCCCCTTCTCTCCCTTCGGCGTAGCCTCCTTCGGGTTCCTCCCGCCCGTAGGAAGAGAGTTGAACCAAACAGTCAGTTCAGAGTTGAGCGACTGACCCCTTGCCTACTCCTGAGGCGCAGTATTTATTAAGTATGGAGTAGTCCATTATTATTATTATGGGTAAGATCCCATAACACAATTAAATATTGTGATTTTCTAGGCGTAGCTTTGATGTGGAACAAGACTGAAAGCTTTCTTAGCGTAGCTAATTTGGTACAAGACCAAAAGTCTAGAGCACCAAATGAGAAATGAGAACAATAGTTCGAATAATGTAAATAATAAACATTCTTTTCCTTTGTCCTAAAATCTACATCCCGAGTGAGGTCCTGGTGTTTTTTTTCCTGTTCGTTTTTCAGTTTAATTCTATTATTCTATATTTTATTTATGTTCCCCACTCTCTATACTTTTTTTTTAATTTATTGTATTCTATCTTACGGCTATTTCCACAGTCAAGTCTACGACCTGACAGAAATTATTGCATCGTATCATCAATTATATATGTTATCCTAAACTCTGTATTTTTATGACCGTTTATTTCTTTTTGCCCAAAAACGACATCCCAATTGCGTTCAAGGAAACTACTGTTTATATTTTAAATGTCTCCTCCGCCTTCTTTTGCTGCACAAACACAAATAGCCAGACTTGCTGTTTACGATAAACGTAGGGAAGCCATTACGTATGTTTTATATTCGATAAAGTCGAGATGTCTTTTCTGCTGTCAGCATAGACAGCTCGTAATATTATAAATATATATATATATATAACTTCTGTTAACAGGTTATTAGAAAAAGGATTCCGTTTATTGGAAGGAGAATCGGAGAAATTACTCTTTGAAATTGTCACCAAATCATTGAAAGCGTAAGTGTCCATTTTTAAATATATTTCTGGAGATTCCGATCCATTAAACAGAAATCGTGCTGTTTAATATAAATATTGGTTGCATTATGTGGTAACCAACATAGGAAAAAGAAAAGAATAAAAGAGACAAAAGCTGGAAAGATATTTTTTCAGGTTCGTATTAGGCGTGAGCGGAAGTTATTATCGAAAAAATAATAATTTTCAACCTGGAATTTTACTCTCAAAAATAAACGCTGAGAAATATTTCACATGGCTCCCACAAAAACGAGATATTGAAAAAAAATATATATATATTCGAGTTATCTACTCTTGATTGGATCAAATATTCACGAGAGTGTTGGGATAAAAAGCAACAATTTTAAAATGGAATAAAAAATAGTAATGAAAAATAATAGTTGGGATAAAAAGCAACAATAATAAAGATGAAATAAAACTAGTAATAAAATAATAGTAATAATGAAGAGTGTATAGTTGGGTTGGGAAAAAAGCAACAATTTTAAAATGGAATAAAACGATGGAATAGAGCCAGAGTGTTGGGAATAATACGATGGAATAAAACTAGTAATAAAATAATAGTAATAATGAAGAGTGTATAGAGCCAGAATGTTGGGATGAAAAGCATCAATAATAAGATGGAATAAAAGTAGCACAGCATGCCGTTTCCAAATTTCTGGCGGGGTGAATTGCGTCATGGTGCATTTTTTTCTCACAGACAGCGTCCAACTGACCCTACTCTACTCTGCAACGCACATGCGCTATATTAAAAATATAAAATAGAAACAATTTCCCCGTTGTACCCTGTACATGTGTAGATCCAAAAGCCAAAATACGGAATGTTATCTACTTGCTTAAGGGTGTTGCCTGCAACGGTGATTAGGCAGACTTTGCCATTGTCACTGTCATTGAACATTCGAGAACATACGTACCTATTTACGTAACTACCTACGGGATAGACTGCACTTAGTCATCCCTTGCGTAGGTTCCCAGAGCAAAACATTGTGAATGGTTTAATTCTTGCTTCTCCAGCAATGTCTACTGATTCTTGTGCCCATCTCAGCCATTGTAGTCGTCAGTTTTGGCAAGTCACCATAGAACATTTAGCTAATCAATCAAGTTTTCTTTCCTTTTTCTTTTTCTCAATGCGTGTGACTAAACAGTCACGTTTATTGTCGAATCTCAAGTCTTGCTGGCCAAACACGGCAGACGATGAAATTCCAACTTCGACATCAAGATACATAAACATACGTATTTGTTCCAATATGAATTAATGGAAATCTGTTCTTTGTTTAAGCCATATATGATAGCGGGGAAACGTGTACTAATGTAGGTCTTTCGTAAAAGAGAAATCAAGTTAACTTTTGTATAGAGCGAGATGTCAAGGCACTTAATACTTTGTTCGTTCCTTTCAGGTCCAATACAGACGATATTCTCTCATTTCTTTTCAATTATGGAGTCGACGTAAATTGCCAATTCCAGGATGATAACACGTTCGTATCCTGAAGTATTTTCTCTTATTTTAATGTTTTTTTTCTAAACGTCAACATCTCAAACATTATTCATATTTGACTAGTATTTCTTTCATCTTAATTCCAATTGGTTTGTTTCCACTAATAGTAATCGTAGTAATATTATCCGAAATTTTTATTAGATGAAGCATTTTCAACCATTATTCATTTTGACTAGTATTTCTTTCATCTTAATTTCAATTGGTTTATTTATATTAGTATTATCACTAGAAGTAATATTGGATTTTTTATTAGATGAAACCTTGTCAACCATTATTCATTTTGACTAGTATTTCTTTCATCTTAATTCCAATTGGTTTATTTCCACTAGTAGTAGCAGTAGAAGTAATATTACCTTGGATTTTTATTTGAAGTCATGTCAACCATTATTCATTTTTTACTTATATTTCTTTTATCTTAATCCCAATTGGTTTATTTCTACTGGTAATATTATTATTAGTATTGATATTACTCTGAATTTTTATTAGATAAAACATTGTCAACCATTAATTATTTTTTTACTAATATTTCTTTCATTTTAATTCCAATTGTTTTTTCCCCACTAGTATTATCAGTAGAGGAAATATTATCTCAATTACGACTCATTTTCTTTTGTTCCAAAGTTTGGTGTTTGTTAGATTCTTTTGTGTCCTAACATGATTGTAGGTAGCGTAGTAGGAGTATCCTTTCCTACTGGACTATCTTAGTTTCAGAAACCTTCTCGTCACTACTATTACAACTCCACTTACTATTTGATTACGCTTGCTATCACTCACGCCATTGACTTGAAACTGATCTCTTCTCCTCATTCTTCTGCGTCTTTTTCTAGAGCTCTACATTACGTTTGTTCCTTGGGATCTTCTGAATTCGCATTGAAAGGCCTCTTGGAACAAGGCGCGAGTTTGGAAATTCGAAACGAAGCATCAATGTTTCCTTTGATGGTAGCCGTTAAAGCTAACAACCTGAAGACTGCTGCGATCCTGGTCCAAGCCGGGGGCGATATGATGGCTGAAAACGAGAACGGTATATCGACATTTTAATGTTTGACTGCTAGTATTACAAGAGGCGGGAATGAATTACTGTCTTGCTACAGAGCCTTGAGTCTACTTACTTCATGAGAATTGGGGTGGGATGTGTGCAGAGCTGCTGAAGGGAGGCTTGGTTAACTTCATAATGCATTAACCCCTGATGCTCTTAATGTCGA